GACACATGCTACTGGTGTAGTCAGGAATTGGAAGGTTTATAATAGCTGACATCCATGGAATTTTTGACTATGGGTGAGGCTCACGCTGGTGCTCATGTACTTTTCTCATTTAATCCTCTCACCAAGACTATGTTTATCCTTCTTTTACAGATGAGGAAACAGAGAGTTTAACTAGTTTGCCCAGGGTCACACAGGTAGTAATGCAGAGAGTGGATCTGAAGCCACATTATCTAACTCATTCTGGAGCCCATTCTGGCATCATTACTATTACTGCCTCTCCTGGAGAGTTCCAGAACACAGCAGAAATCAAGGAAGATTCATACATATAGACTGAATAGTACCTCTGCATGGCGGGGCAGTGTCCCTCTTACTCTAATACTTTGAGGTTGAACTGAGACTTTACTCAGAAAAATAACTGAGCAGCCTACCTCCCATTTCCTGCCTTTCCATTATATTTTCCATTTTCATACATTTCTTAAATACAGAGTGATCACCTCACTCCCAGGTTCATGAATGATCCATGGATTTGCTTTACTTATAGGAATATAACAAACCACTCAGCCTGGCACACACAGACCCGTGGTCTGGCAAAGGCTCTGCCCCCTTTCCATCACATCCCTCATGTAGGACCCCTGAGCAGTCTCCCAGCAAGCCCAGGGCTCACTAACTTCCCTTCCTTGATGCGGTTCTCCTAACTTGAAATCCTGTTCATCCACAGAAGCCAGGTCAGCTTCAGGAACAAATTATTTATAGAGTGGCATCAAATACTTCTATTGCAGGTTGAGCATCTCTCATCCCAAAATCTGAAATCTGAAGTGCTCCAAAGCCCAAAACTTTTGAGCACCAACATGACACCACAAGTGGAAAAGTCTACACCTGACCTCAGGTGGCAAGTCACAGATAAAACACAGACACATAACACACAATTTGTTCAGCAACCCCTAGGGTAAGATAAACTTACCTCGGGCTATGTGGGTAAGGTATATATGAAACATAAATCAATTTTGTGTTTTCAGTATCTTACATTATATTTATGCAAATACTTCAAAGAAATCTGGCCAGGTGTGGTGGCTCACGCCTGTAATCCCAACACTTTAGAAGGCTAAGACAGGTGGATCACCTGAGGTCAGGAGTTTGAAACCAGCATGGTCAACACGGTGAAACCCCATCTCGACTAAAAATACAAAAACCAGCTGAGCGTGTTGGTGCGTGCCTGTAATCCCAGCTACTCAGGAAGCTGAAGCAGAAGAATCACTTGAACCCAGGAGGCAGAGGTTGCAGTGAGGCAAGATAACACCATTGCACTCCAGTCTGGGGAACAGAGCAAGACTCCATCTCAAAAAAAAAAAAATCTGAAATCCAAAACACTTCTGGTCTCAAATATTCTGGGTAAGGAATACTCGACCTGTATTTTTAAATAATTCCAAATATTATTAAGTCCCATAATAAGTAAGGCTAGAGGAAAGATTAATTGAAAAGGTAAAAAAGCCTTTAATAAATGTGATTCCTAAGGTTTTCAGTTGTAGATTCAGATTCCAATTAGGAGAGCATATTTAATATCACCTCTAGTGGTCTGTTTTGCTCAACAACTCTAAATCTACCAGAAGGGTTCTGCAGCAGTTTTCTCAAAGTGTAACAAATTCTACTTTGTATATCATCTCTTCATGTTTAATTATAAGGATTTGAATTTACAACAGCAGTTAATCAGTAATTAGATAGTACTGTACCAAAAGAAATTAAACAAAGATAAAACAAAAACACAACTTAGCACAGGCCACATCATCTGGTAATGTTACATGTAGCATGATTAAAATAGTCCCTGAGAAACACAGGTTAACTGAGTCATTAGTGATATATTCCTTTGACTCTTTTGTTGTTATTAGTGATTTCCAGTGCCAGCAGGAAACTTAAAGGTAATCCAAATCCAAAAACACTCTGATTATACTAATTATTCCATTTTTATTCTTCATTATAAATCTCTTTATTATGCTCGATAATTATTTTGAAATGTAGTGGTAGATTTTTACAATGCAAAATAAATGTATATTTTATAATGATGGCATTCTGTATTGATTGTCATATTTAAAGAATATGAATAAATCAGTATTTGAGTTAATTATCATTAGACCTCAAAAGCAAAATGTTCACCTTAGGTGTGGAAAATCAAAAAAGATACAAAGCAGTTTGAGAGAGGGGCAAAAAGTTCCCTGAAACCAAGACATAGAAGAGGTAAAAAGGCTGTTGAGCAAGTCATTGTAGGAACCAGGGGAAGAGGCAAGGGACCCTCTCCTTACCAAGTCATGTGATCCCCCTGTACCAGGTGCACAGGCCTCCTGTCCTGGTTCTTAAGCCTTTGGTTAGTAAGGGAATAAAAGCAGACTGGCCATTGGAAAGAGAAGTCAGCAGACCTCCTAATTCAGTCTTGGAAGAGATGTGGGCAGCAGCCAGCTCAGGTGTGCCCTACTCTGGGTGATGCTGGAGCTGGGCTCTGGCAAGGGAAGACAGTTGGAGAAGCCCCAGCATGGATTAGTGGATATATAGCAAGCTTTTCTCCTTGCAAAATGGTATCTTTTATCCCTTTATTTATCCTGTGACCAGCATGACATGGGAAGACTGAGCCAATAAAACACTCAATTACCTGAAGGTGCTTTGCATTCTTTCCCTGGTGCTATTTCAAGAGGCTTTGTCTGTGTAAGAAAATGACATTATCTTTACTCCTAAGTACAGGGATCTTGTAAACTCTAAATACTGTAAAATCTTTAAATGGTATGCCAAATGAATAAATAGTTTTTTCCCCCTAAGTGTATGAAGTTGTCTTGAAAACTTCTGTATGGAGTGAATTTCATTGTGCACTCATAAGCTTGCTTTACCAAAGTATTTTAATTATCAGTCTCTGAAACAAGTAATTTGTCTTTTGATAGAACAATTTGCTAAAAAGAGCAAAAGGTACTTTGAGAAGAATTACTGAAGAAAATTTCAAAGATTTCCATCTCTTGGCACCTTGGATTGAAAGAATACGCTTTGTTTAATAATTTAGTATCATAGTGGACATCAGAGAGCCAAACTGTAATAATTTTTGTAACTTCATGATGAAATTAATGGAGCAGCTCTCCCAAAATTGGGAACCATTTGGTTTTTTCTCCAGTTTAAGAATTTCTCTTTCTCCTGTTTTGTGAAGCAGTGCTATGAAGTTTCTATGTCTAAGAGTTCATTGCTTTCCCAAATTAGACAGCCCACCTGTAAATGAAAACCACATTTGCAAAGTGACAATTCATTTGTGGATATGGCTAATTAATCCTCTGTTAGGCTTCTTCAACTGTTCTCTAATTTGAAAATGTTCATCTCTCAGGAGGTGGTACAATTTATTTGATTTCATTGTACGACACAAACTTTTGCCTCTCAATTTTACCTCTTTCGTTGAAATAAGCTTAAACGGGCCGGGCGCGGTGGCTCAAGCCTGTAATCCCAGCACTTTGGGAGGCTGAGGCGAGTGGATCATGAGGTCAAGAGATCAAGACCATCCTGGTCAACATGGTGAAACCCCGTCTCTACTAAAAATACAAAAAATTAGCTGGGCATGGTGGCGCGTGCCTGTAATCCCAGCTACTCGGGAGGCTGAGGCAGGAGAATTGCCTGAACCCAGGAGGCGGAGGTTGTGGTGAGCCGAGATCACGCCATTGCACTCCAGCCTGGGTAACAAGAGCGAAACTCCATCTCAAAAAAAAAAGAAAGAAATAAGCTTAAACAAGCTGACTGCAGTCACCATGGTCATCATCTTATGAACCTTTATTCAGAGTTAACTGGGCAAGACTAATGAACCAGAGCAATCTCTTCATGTCAGTGAATGATTACCAGTAGCTCCTCAGTTTAACAACATGGTAATTATTCCATGACCTACTCGTTCTATAGTAAGTAGTTTAAAATTTTTTTCAAAGCTTGGGACTTCAAACACCCCTAGTTGTATTTCTCCTCCAGCTTCTCCCATCTCAGTAAATGGCTCTAGTCAGTGCTCCAGCCAACACCTGAGAACTTTCTTTGCTCGCTTTTGCTCATGTCCCAATTCCAAGTACATCAGCCAGTCCTGCTGGATCTCCTGACACTGTCCCCACCCTAGACCAACCCTCTGTTTCCTCACCTGGACTCCTAGCAGTCATCTCCTAAGTGGCCTCCCTGCTTCTATTCCACCTTTCCATTCTCCACATCACAGCTCAGGTAATTCTATTACAAATATTCATCATATTACTTCACTAGGCCTGCTTAATGCCTTCCAGCGACTTCCCATTTCACATAGAATCAAATCAAAACACCTTCCATGGTCACCAGACCCCATCTAACCAGCTCTGCACCACTCTCCCCTTCTCATACTCTAGGGTCAGCCTTTAAACATTCCCACACATTCCTGCTGCCATGCCTTTCCACAAGCTACTGCCTTTGCTTGGGGTGTACTTCCCCACCTCTCAGGACAGACTCCTCCCAACCTTCACAGTTCACCTCAGATGTCACTGCCTCAGAGAAACATCTCCTGACCACCTAAGATGCAGCCCCTACAGGCAGGATTATCACATTAGCCTGTTGATGCGCTTCATAGCACTTGTCTCTATCAGAAATGATTTTGTTCCTTCTAGCTTGTTTGTTTACTGATAAATGTGTTGCTTCCCGCCATCCTCCAAGCTCCATGAAAGCAAGAACCTTGCTGGTCTCCTGTTCCCCTCGTATTACTCATGGCTGGAACAGGGTCTAGCCCACAGCACAGTCTCAATAAACAGTTGTTAGATGAAGTATGGATGACGGAATCCTTATCTTCCTAATACTGTATGACTTTGACTGAAACACTTAACTTCATGGACTTCAGCTTTCTCCTCTATAAAATAAAGCTAACAGAACGTCGGTTGTTCCTGGGAATAAGTTAATGGAGTAAATGCGCAGCAGGGCATAGCACCTTGTGTGACCCACAGCAGATGCAGAGTGAGCAGTCACCAATGTCGCTTCCTGTTTTACAGGAAATCCTCAGAGGAACTAGACATGGACAAGGTAACAGCAGCAATGGTACTAACCAGCTTGTCAACCAGTCCTTTGGTTCGAAGTCCTCCTGTGCGGCCGAATGGTAAGCCCAGGAATATGGGGCTTAGGGAAGGGCCCCTTGACACCAAGAGCAGGGCCTCTCTTTGAAGGGTCTCATTCCTGTTGAACACTGTGAACCACTGACTCTCACCCATTAGCAGGAAGCAAAGGGAAACATGGAAGACATCGAGGCCCCCAGAGCTGTTGGCCTCCTCTTCATCTTCCCAGAGAGCCTACTGCTTTTTGTTCACCCATCCTTCCATTCGACTCGCTTTCTTTGAGCTCCTTCATTTTCTGCCTTGCCAGGACACGTCTTTGCAGTACTTGTGTCCCTCTTTTTCCCAGGTAAATGAAGATTGAGCCAATGAATTATTTTCCCTAGCATTATTTCTGTTTGATTTGGGGGGTAATTGGATTAAAGAACTCTCAGCTTAAATATGCTTTTAATACATTATCCCTGACTCCTTAATCAAATAGAATTATTTAGTCCATTCATTTATTACACACACATTTATCAGGTACCATGCTAGATGAATTGAATACCTCATTGAAAAAGTGTCCACATTCCCAGGTAGTATACTATCTCTTTGAGGAAAAAAGACTCCCAATCATAGCCATATTAATGGCTAGCATTTATTGAGCATTACTGTTTGTCAATAAACAAGTACTATGTTTTTTTTATCTCCTGTAATTCCCACAACAATTCTATGAGATGTTGTTATCACTGTTTTACAGATGAATAAACTGAGGTTCACAGGGATTAACTGGCAGAACTGAAATTCTCCATATCTTTTTGATTCCATATTTATTCTCTTAATCACAATATGATTTTGTCTCAGATAATCCAATACAATAAATAAGGAGGTCAGGTAGCAGGAGGTGAAGTTAGAGTGACTGGCAGATCTATCAGGAAGGGTCATTTATGGCTGGCTAGGAGTTTAGACTTTATGCTGAGGCTATGGGAGCACTGTTAAAGTGATTCTAGCCCTGAAAAGTTATGATTAGGTTTACCAGCCAAAAGAAAAAGAAAAGGCCTTGGTAGTCACAGTGGAGGCAAACAGGCAGTAATCGAGACATGTGAAGAATGCAGAATCAAGAGTATTTGGTGCTGGACAGAGAGGGCGAACAGGAAGGTGTGTCAAGGATGACTTCCAGGCAGTTGGTGTGCTTCAGCAAGGGGAGGACATTCACTGGGATGGGGACATACACGCAGGAAGAGATCTATTGGTAAATGTTTGGGACAAGAGCTGAGGTTGCTGAAGAAGACAGTAGGGTCAGTTTGAAACATGTTTAATAGGCAGTGCCTGAGGATCATTCAAGGGGCAACATCTGGTGAAGATTTGGGCACATCCTGGGAGAGAGATCTGGGCTGAAGGTAACATTTTGAATAAAAGGCAACATTTTGAATCCATGAGAGTAGATGAGATCACCATGAGAGAGTTATGTAGAAGCAGAGTGAAAAGAGAAGATGGCCAAGGAAGGAAGCAGTGAAGCTCACTATCATGCAAGGAATTGGCAGTGGGAAAAGAGCCTAGGAAGAGCCTGACAGGCGACCAGGGAGGTAGAGGATAACCAGGAGAGTGTTGTTTCACAGAAACCAAGGGAAAAACATGTTTTAAAGAGAAGTGTCTGATGCTTCAGAAGGTCTTTCATTAAAATGACTGAATTTTGTATCACTGGTAGCTTTGTCAAGAGCACTCCCTAAAGAAGAAAGCCAGATTGCAGATTGCAGTTGACTGAGATGTAATGCACTGAGACCACTGAATGAGACTTACCACCTATGAAAACCTCCTCTCAAAAACCAGCATGGTCCATTATGAAATTGAGATATGGTTCACGCACAGTTTGGTTTTAAGCATGAGGTGTTAAGATAAATCTGTTGCACATACATTGAGTCCTCACCAAAACTTTCTCCAATCCCATTATAAAGGAAAAGAATGATCATCATGCTAGGAATTCCTATCAGTGTCATGCATTTAGTATGGCCCCGCAACATCATGATTACCAAGCTGGGATAACACCTCTTCTTTTCTTTTCTTTTCTTTTTTTTTTTTTTTTTTTGAGATGGAGTCTCACTCTGTCACCCAGTCTGGTGTGCAGTGGTGCTATCTTGGTTCATTGCAACCTCTGCCTCCTGAGTCCAAGCGATTTTCACGCCTCTGTCTCCCAAGTAGCTGTAATTATAGGCATGTGCCACCACACCCAGCTAATTTTTGTATTTTTAGTAGACACAGGTTTCACCATGTTGACCAGCTGGTCTCAAACTCCTGACCTCAGGTGATCCACCTGCTTTGGCCTCCCAAATTGCTGGGATTACAGGCGGGAGCCACTGTTCTTAGCTGACCAACACCTCCTCTTTACATAGCACCAGATGAGGTGCTCTTGAAATGGGCCTGACCTATTCAGTGACCTGACTGCTCTTCTCGGGGTCTCTGGCAGACAGGTATTCTGATTTACCTTTCTCACTTTGGCAGTGCTAAAGCAAGATTATAGTAAAAGCAAAACTATAGCCAGGTGTGGTAGCACGTACCTGTAGTTCTGGCCCAGGACTTTGGGGTCTCATTGAGCTATGATGGTGCCACTGCACTTCAGCCTGGGTGACAGAGCAAAACTCCAACTCCAAAAAATAAAAAATAAAAAAAACCGGAAAAACCCCCAAGACATATTCTAGGAAAAAGAAATTGCAGAATTCCATGGAATCTTTAGAGGGGGAAAAAAAGGCGTATTTTAAAGTAATCATTATTTTTACCATTGGGTTTTCTTTTCACTGCCACCTGAGCTGGAGTGCAGTGGCGCAATCTCGGCTTATTGCACTTCCGCCTCCCAGGTTCAAGTGATTCTCCTGCCTCAGCTTCCCAGTAGCTGAGATTGCAGACACACACCACCATGCCCAGCTAATTTTTTGTATTTTTAGAAGAGACAGGGTTGAACCATGTTGGCCAGGCAGGTCTCGAACTCCTTACCTTGTGATTTGCCCGCCTCGGTCTCCCAAAGTGCTGGGATTACAGGCGTGAGCCACTGCGCCTGGCTGGCTTCTTTTTTTAATTGAGAACACTTTTAGTGTTCCTTTGTACTTAAAGGTCAGAATTAAAATAAACCTTTTGGTTCAGTGCAAATTTTTGTTAGCACAGTAATAAAGTAATTCAGTGTTGATTTATGGTTTAAAAAGTAACTACTCAACTAATAACCCCAAATTGTCTGCTGTCTCTCATTTAGTCTGTAAGAAAAAGCAAATTCTTAAATAAGGAAAGCAATTTATGATAACAAAGGCATTTTTTTTAGGAAAAAAAGATTTTCACTAGAATTATTGCACATCAATGAATTTTTGGAAACTGTTGTGATCCTTTTCTGTACCTAAAAAGGATCATTCTGTCAGGAAGTGGGTCTGCAGAGTGTGAGGGTCCAGCAGTGCCTGTCTGCATTCTTGACAAACAGTGGCTTAATATAAAGAGGCTCTATTCCCTAAGAAGATTATAAATCAGACCTTCTTTCTGAAAAAAAAAGTATCATTTCTATATCACTTGGTCTTTCTGACTAAATAGTGTTTCTAAAGGAAATGTCATTCACAAATCAGTAAGCAAATTCACTTTTAGCATTGACATGAAGCCATGTAACCACACTGTAATAATCATTGGTTCTCAAAACAAATTCAGTGCCTCATAGTTAACATGATTTATACATCAAGCACCACGAGCTTTATTTTATTTTACAAATGCATACTACAGTATATTTATAAGCCACCCGAGCTTGCCAAGGGAGTTTTTCACACCAAGTAAAATCATCAAGCCTTATATTATGCTCTTCTTGAACTCCTGTTGTACCAAATGGAGCTTTCTTATTTACAGCAGGCAACTCTGGTCTAGTGAGTGCATCAGTCTCTGTGTAGACTGCAGTGAGTGAGATGCTAATTTGGTTTTGTTGATGCTGGCAAAGCATGAGACTGCATAAACGACCATTTGATTCTAAAAGAACCTAGCTGTAATGAGATAGGTAGTTTCTCCTATTTCACCTTAAAATTTCACTCCTCTAACTTAACTTTTTGCTTGACATAATTGAGGAATATGCTTGAAATTTATAATTAGGTAAAGGTAGTTAGGAAATTTCCCCAGGAATGTGAATCTCCCCTTTGTCTTTACTTCATTACTAATTACACAGACGTTAACAGTATTTTTTTTAATGAGGCATTTGGGGATGTGTTTTCCTCCTTATAGTTAGAACATGGTTTTAATATATTCAAAATGCACATAAATATGGAGGAGAAATTATCCAAAAAGAAAATAGAATTTATACAAATGCTAATTAAGGTTGTGCCTCTTGAAAGGTAAAGCAAATCTTCAGTGATTAAAAGAGCATCCAGAAGACTTTTTTTTTTTTTTTTTTTTTTGAGACAGAATCTCACTCTGTTGCCCAGGCTGGAGTGTAGTGGCACAATCTCAGCTCACTGCAACCTCCGCCTCCCAGGTTCAAACAATCCTCCTGCATCACCCCCCCAATAGCTGAGATTACAGGCATGCACCACCATGACCAGTTAATTTTTGTATTTTTAGTAGAAACAGGGTTTCGTCGTGTTGGCCAGGCTGGCAGAAGACATTCTAACTAGGCAGAAATCTCTCCACATTAGCAAACATTTCATAATGCTTTCCACCACAAATGGAAAGGTAAAATCCAATAGCAATCTTATCAGTAGTTATTGCCAATAAATTCTTATCCTATCCCAGCTTTGCCAGAGAGAATGGAGGTTGTTCATAGCCCAAGGACTGCATGCAGTGAGGAAAGAGGTCCAAGCAGCAGGCCAGCTTGGGCCTGGCTCACCAGGAATACTTACCAGTCACATAGCAAGTCACTTCGCTTCCTGCTGCCTCAGGGTCCTCATCTATAAAACTGGGATGATAATCCTTATTCTGAAGTACAGATGTTGTGAGAATGCTTATGACTATGTGAATAAGCTTTGTAAAATGTAAAACACTCACAAAATGTAAAGCATTACTATTTGTTGGGAAGCAGAATGGGAAGGTGGGGCTTTAGATAACTCTCCAGGAATTATTTCTCTTAGATTCTTAAATGTTAGACTAACTTCCTATAAATGTATTCTAAGAACTAAAATCCTATGAGAACTCCCCGCCCCACAACTTTTTTTTGAAAAACGATCTTGCTCTTTCACCCAGGCTGGAGTACAGTCACCCAGTCATAGCTAACTGCAGCCTCAAACTCCTGGACTCAAGTGATCCTCCCTCCTCAGCCTCCAGAGTAGCTGGGACTACAGGTGCATGCCACCACACTCAGCTAATCTTTTTATTTTTTCTGTACAGCCGGGGTCTCATTATGTAACCCAGGCTGGTCTTGAACTCCTGGCCTTAAGCAATCCTCCCACTTCAGCCTTTCAAAATGCTAGGATAAGAGAAGCAAGCCACTGCCCTCAGCTAAGAAATCCCTTTTTTTAAAAAAAAAAAAAAAAAAAAAAAAGGAAATTGGAGGGGTTGGGGTGGGAGGGAACTCTGTGACCAAACCATTCAGGGGAATACTGCAAATGATATTCCTCTCTTAGAAATACTGCAGTCAATAAACCCAGAGCTCCCCAAACTTAGTGAACAAGAAAATCTTTTTTTTTCCCATATAATCCCCACTATCATCCAATCCCCACTAGGATCCCAGTGAATTTGTGTTGCACAATACAAAAACACATCAGAAAACTCTTAGAAAAACCTGTTATCAGGCGGTTAAAATAATTAAATGTTTATAAACTACAATGTGGCTTTTGGGAGGGCAGTGTATAAATAGAACAAAAACTGACATACCCAGCTGTTGCAGATTATTGAGAGAGCTAGGGTGGTTTCACTGGAGTAGAACCAAGACTCCCACTTCCCCACTGAGCCAGGCTGGGGCACGAAGGGGTTCTCGCACTGACTGTGTTTGTGTGCACGCAGAGAGCCTCAGCGGATCCTGGAAGGAGGGCGGCTGCGTGCCTTCCAGCACCAGCAGCAGCGGCTACTGGAGCTGGAGCGCCCCCAGCGACCAGTCCAACCCGTCCACGCCGTCGCCGCCGCTCTCGGCCGACAGCTTCAAGCCCTTCCGCAGCCCTGCGCAGCCAGACGACGGCATCGACGAGGCGGAGGCCAGCAACCTGCTCTTCGACGAGCCCATTCCCAGGAAAAGAAAGGTTGGTGACCAGCCACGTGGTCTTCTGCCTTCAGTTTCCTGAAGGTGCTTTCTGTCCCCTTTGAAGGGCCCCTTTGAGCTTAACTTTGGACCCACACCCCCTTTTCTGTGGAAAGAAGCAGCTTACATTCCTCTTTAATGTTCTTGAAGTTTAAATAGAAATTGTTATGGTGACAATTAAAAAATGACAAATACTGGTAAGTTTCCTGAAAGTATATATCCACATGCTCTATCCTTAAGTTGTAAATTGCTGACCTGAGACTTACCAGTATTTCTAAATTGAACCTCAGGCTTGCTTCGGTATGAATTCATTCTCTTCTTGGGACTTATTTTTTTCATGTGTAAAATACAATTAATATATTTTTCTTTTTTCTGCTTCAGTCAGCCCTGAAGGGTTATTGTGAAGAATATTTCGTATCTCATTTTTATTTTTATTTTTTTGAGAAATCTCACAACTTCTCTCCACAGTGGCTGAACTAATAATTTATATTCCCACCCACGGTGTATAAGTAAGTGTCAAAAGTGATCTTTTTTTTTTTTTTTAAAGAAAGATAAAGAGAAAGGGGGAGAGAGAACAGGAATCTTGCTCTATTGCCCAGGCTGGAATGCAATCCAAAAATAGGTATTAAAAACCTCTTTTATGCCGATAATTGTGCTTAACAGCAGAGAAAAGAAGGAATAAAGGAAGAAAATAACAAACAGCCAACCAATATTTCATTTAAGTCTGTGAAATGCTATGCAAATGCTGAAGAGTGATTTACTTCCAATTATGCGGTCACTTTCAAAATAGGTGTAATGTGATACTGAGAAAAATGTATGTTCTGTGGACCTGGGGTGAAGAATTCTATAAATATTCACTGAGTTTACTTGTTCCAGGTCTGAGTTCCAGTCATAGATGTCCCTGTTAATTTTCTATCTCGTTGATCCATCGAATATTAACAATGTGGTGTCAAAGTCTCCCACTATTATTGTGCGGGAGTCCAAGTCTCTTTATAAGTCATTAAGAACTTGTCTTATGTATCTGGGTGTTCCTATATTGGGTGCATATATATTTATGATCTGTTGTTGCATTGATCCTTTTACCATTATGTAATGTCCTTGTTTCTTTTAGTCTTTGTTACTATTAAAGTCTATTTTGTCAGAGATGAAAGTTACAACTCCTGTTTTGTTTTGTTGGGTTTTTTTTGTTTGTTTGTTTGTTTGTTTGCCCTCCATTTTATTGGTAAGTCTTCCACCAACCCTTTGTTTTGAGTCTTTGTGTGTCCTTGCTTATGAGATGGATCTGGATACAGCGTACCGATGGGTTTTGACTTTTTATTCAATTTGCCTGTCTGTGTCTTTGATTGGGTCATTTAATTCATTTAAATTTAGGATTAATATTGATATTTGTGAGTTTAATATTGTCGTTTAATGCTAGCTGGCTATTTTGCCCATTAGTTGATATAGATTCTTCATTATGAAGATACTCTTTACCTTTTGGTAAGTTTTTGGGATGACTGATACTGGGCGTTCCTTTCTGTGTATAGTGCTTCTTTCAGAAGCTCTTGTAAAGCAGGCCTGGTGGTGATGAAAGCTCTGAGTGCTTGCTTGTTCATGAAAAAATTTATTTTTCCTTCATTTATGAAGCTTAGTTTGGCTGGATATGAGATTCTGGGTTGAAAATTCTTTTCTTTAAGGATATTGAATATTGACCCCCACTCTCTTCTAGTTTGTAGGGTTTCTGCTGAGATCTGCTGTGAGTCTGATAGGCTTCCCTTTATGGGTAACCTGAGCTGCCCTTAGAATTTTCTCCTTTATTTCAACCCTGGTGAATCTAATGATTATGTGTCTTGGGGTTGCTCTACTTGAGGAATATCTTTGTGGTGTTCTCTGTATTACCTGGAGTTGAGTATTGTCTTGCCTTACTAGGTTAGGAAAGTTTTCCTGAATAATATCCTGAAGATTATTTTCCATCTTGGATTCATCGTCTTCATGACATTCAGGTACACCTATCAAACATAAATTAGGCCTTTTCACATAGTCCCATATTTCTTGGAGACTTTGCTCATTCCTTTTTACTCTTTCTTCTCTAATCTTGTCTTCTCATTTCATTTCATTGAGTTGGTCTTCAACCTCTTATATCCTTTCTTCTGCTTGGTGAATTCGACTGTTAAAACCTGTGCATACTTCGCCGAGTTCTCGTATTGTATTCTTCAGTTCCATTAATTCATTTATATTCCTCTCTAAATTGTCTATTCTCAATAGGATTTCATCAAACCTTTTTTTAAGGTTCTTAGTTTCTTTACATTGGGCTAGAACATGTTCTTTTAACTCACAGAAGTTTCTTATTATCCATCTTCCGAAGCCTAATTCTGTTAATGGAACGCGCTGGTTCTCCATCAGGCCTTGTTCCCTTGTTGATGAGGAACTGTGATCCCCTGTAGAGGGAGAGGCATTCTGATTTGGGATATTCTCAGCCTTTTTATGCTGGTTTCTTCCCATCATTGTAAGTTTATCCACCTGTCATCTTTGTAATTACCGACTTTCAAATTAGGTCTCTGAGTGGACGTCCAACTTGTTGATTCCCAGAGCCGGAATCTGAGCAACCCACTGTGCGGGCTAAAACAGTGGCGTTAAGATTCATGGTGCTTTTCTGCCCGGGAATCTCCGGTCTGGCTTCCTTCTTGAGCCTCTTTTTCAATCAGCTGAATGGGCGACTCTGCCTTCCCGGAGCTCCAAATGTCGACCAAAAGGGGACCCAGTCCCGTTTACTCTGCACCAAGAACCGCCATGCTGAGGCACTGGCAAAACTGCCACACCAGCCACAAGAGTCACGCTGGCAACCTGTGGGGCTCCTCCGCTGGGAATCTCCTGGTCCATGAGCAACAGAAATTCATCTGAAAGTGTGGCATCCTGTAGTTCTCTGCGCTTTCACTGGGAGCTACCATCCCAAGCTGCCAGTAACCGGCCATCTTGGATCAAAATTCCATATCTCATTTGTATGCAATCATCTGTGAAATATCCATAAAGGCCGAGATATAAACAAACATCCGTTCTTACATCCTAAAAATTAGATATTAACTAAATAAAAAGTGAAAAAGGGCCAGGCACAGTGGCTTATATCTGTAATCCCACCGCTTTGGGAGACTGAGGCAGGAAGATTGCTTGAGACCAGGAGCTGGAGACCAGCCTATGCAACAGAACAAGACCCTGTCTCTACAAAAAAAATTTAAATTTAAAAAACATTAGCTCAGTGTAGTGACATTCACCTGCAGTCTCATCTACTCAGGAGGCTGAGGTGGGAGGATCACTTGAGTCCAAGAGTTCAAGGCTGCAGTGAGCTATGATCTGGCCACTGCACTCCAGTCTGGGCAACAGAGTGAGACCTTGTTGCTTAAAAAAAAGTAGAAGGAAAAAAAGACATCTAATTAATTGATTTAACAAATTAATTAATTAGACATTTTATTAATGCAGCAGCACTGAGTGGTAAGTTTTTCACTTCCACTTTGATATGAGGAAACTAAGGATCAGGGCGATTTTTACATTTAATTGGCCCCTGTTAGGCAGGTTAGAAAGGGACAGAGCCATCATTCAAACCCAGATCTGCCTGAGCCTCAAGCTCATATTCTTTTCATTCTTTTCAGGTACATTTCAGTTATGTTCACTTATAATTTTTCAAAAACATTTTCATTTCATAGAATAAAGTAATACTACCACTATACTACCACTAAATCTAGAAGATATTTTGGCATTATTTTTTAAATCACCACATAAATGTTATATATGTTGGTTTTTAAATTTTGTATTGGTAGCTTCATTATTAATGGCTGTTCACAAAGATCCAGTATAAAGCCCTGAGGACTGCAGTGCAAACTTTTTCCTCCCCCAGTTCATTTCAAAGAGGAAAACAAAGAGATGGCATCGATCCAACAATGCCTTCCCTCCCTGCATCTCTCAGCATCATTCTACCTGTGTAACATGCAGAATAGAGGCGATACAGGCATTGTCTCTGGGTGTGCACATGTAAAAAAGGCTGACGTTTTTGTCCAGAAAAGAGGATATTAATGTCGTCCCCTGACCTTCCCAGAGGCAGTGGCCTGAAGAGTTGCCGTTTGATTCCCGTCTGTTATGCAAGGGGGCTGGAGTACTAGCACCCCGTGGGTCCCCAGGGACACTGAGTCTTCACATGACCAGTAGGGGAGAGAGGCCAGCACTTGTATCAGTGGGTACCTGCAGTCAGGACAGTGGTGGGGACCTGAAGTCTTTTCCTGTTGCTTCGAGCTTCATAGACTTTCTCCCTGGAGTTCTCTTAGTGTGTAGTCCAAACACTCAACAGGCATGGCCCAGTGTTGTGACAAGGACTCACAGCACAGGGAACCCCAGTGTTATTTAAGGCACATTGATGAAAGCCTGTCACAGCCTTCCATTTCTAATGCAGCCACTGAGCCAAAATTCACACTCTTACATCACAATTAGATGGCACTTGTTAGACTCATATGGAAGGTCTAAAGGCTTTAACTGAATTAGGGGATAGTCAAGTCACCAAACAAAAAGGAAAAAAACTTCCTTGTTTACATTTTTTATTTAAAAACTTTTTATATATATTTATTTTTGTTGGAAGAGCACAGGCCCACTCCACAAGAAGCTGGATACTAGGAAGGAACAAACAAATAAGAATCATGTTTATCCTTCTTTCTTTATGACTCCTTCCCTATGCAGACTTTAGATGTCCCCAAGGTGAGACCAGTAGGATGTGGACGGTAGCTACTAATGTTTAATGCATGGATTTTACACAGACCAAGTTGTTACCTTGGCCTTTTGAATTTAAAGTTACTTTGAATAGTGAAAATAAAAAGAAGGTGAGGCTGATGCTGTTCTTTTTTAAATTTATCAGGTGAACCAGTATTTACTGAGCACATATCAGGCAAAATGCTTATTGCCCTGAGAATAAGGCATAGTTTTTTCCTTTAAGGTGTCGAAAGTTGGGTGCCTGGAAATTGATGTGTAGAGAGGCAATAATTA